TATATTAGCTATATTAAATTTAAAATATTATTGTGTTAAATTTTCAACAATAGAGCTTGTTAGAAATAACTATTATCATTATTGAAGGTATAAAATTATTTAATAAGGGCAGTACAATGATAGCATTACCGTCGACCCTATATGCGATAGATTGCCCTGTACTTTGATAGGCGCAGGTCAGGCCTCTCCATTATTTTCCCGTCAAAGTGATTAAATAAATAGTCCCGCTTCAACTACAGGCAGCTATTTTGTAATTATGGAGGTTTATTGCCCAGACAGGGTAGAGGAATGTTTTGGGTGAGCAAAGACCGTGTAGCATGGACTTACACTGACCTCAGGTTAGCTTTTTATGTTAACATTCGCGCAATCGTGGGATTTAGCATTATTTGGTTTTAATGATCGCGCTTACACTTTAAGTTTAATTCTAAAGACAAATTTACTCTATGTAGCAATATGTATTTTCCGCCTGTTTTATTTCTTTTTCAATGAATATTTTAGGTGTGAAATAGACTTATTAAATGTATAACATTTTTGTGTTTAACAATATACGTATCTATCTACATTTGCGTTGCACCCTTCGGAAGGAAAAACTATGAGATGTGTATCGTCAGTGACTCAAACCGTGAGACATATCTAGTATCCGGATGAAGCCATTCTACGTCAATATCGTAAGCTACAAGCCTACTAGCGGTTGTGGGGGAATCGTGCAAAGGTCGGCGGTCATTCGACCCGGCCGCGACCGCTTCTATGTCAGATTGCCATCATCCGCGTTTTGCCCTGCCCTCCACAACTATTTTGCACAATTTTCGCATTGCAATTAATCGCACAGAATTACCAATTAATATGAGGATGGTCATAGTATTAGATATAGTATAATAAATTTGTTTCTATTGAACTAAGAAAACAGAAAAAGGAATAATCATTGTTGAAATAATTTAAGAGAACCATTATTAAAACATAATAACGTTCTCATTTCAAAATGAAAATTTCTATAAAACTAAAACCAACAAAGGTAAAAGGATAATCTTATTACAGGGAATGAATGAAAGTAAAACAGGCTGTCAGTAATTGTAATAAAGAAGCGCCTACGCTAATATTCGAGCAAAGGTACCGGAGCACGAACAGATCAGTTTTAAAAGGCGTAGGTGGTTTGGCAATTTGCATTTTTTTTTAAATGACATTCAACAAACAAAACGGAAAATAAACTAAAATTATATTTTTATTTTATTAAAGGTATTATGATATTTACTTACTTTATTTTTCTATTAAATTAATTAAATTCATATAATTATCATCATCAATAATTTATGTTATGTAAAGGCTTTTAGATCATTTTTTTTAATTATATTTAATTTAGCTGTACTTATATCAATATGTTCATAGTGTCATTACACCGCAATCTCTCCGAGCGGGAGCTCGGTACCGACTTCTAATAATGCTTTCGCTGAGCAGAAAGCAAAGTTTTCAACGACATAATCACACTAAAAGCATTCCATTTTATTTGCCGAATATTACGACAACGATTTGCTGAATAGCATGCTATACATAGATCAAGAAATGTTGTTTCTAAAAAGCATACTACCTAGTACATACATACATGAACGAATTAAATTTTTTATAGCTTTCGAGTTTCAATTGTTTTTTTTTCATGCAAAAAAATAGTAATATTAAAAGCATCACAAGTTTTTCGAATCCATTAGTCAGTCGTCTAATAACTTGCGTACTTGACATTTATTGTCTTTTTATTCGCGTTTCTGGGCTCATTTCCACATGGTTTATTCATGAGTCAGTTTGAGACAGTAAGAGCTAAGATACAAAAGACTTAAATTTAGCTCCCAGGTATTTTTAAGTTTGAATAAGATATTTTCATGTTGAAACTTGAAATTGATCTTGTTGATTCAGTAAGTGGGCCTTTGAGATTGAAATTGCTTCGTCGTTTTACCAATAACTGCAGACGTTTGATGCAGAATCTTCAAGTTGAGCTTACAATCAGATGTAATTTAGTGCTCGATATTCGATTTATCGAATACACAATACGATGACAGTGGAAACCTACGTTTAGAGGAAGAGACAAAGAAACAGGATTGTGCATCAATCTAAGCACAGTCCTAATATTATTTTAATAAAGCTTGCTTTCAACCTGTTAAAAAATACAGCTTGTAAATAATTAATATCCAAAACTAAATTTGTAGTAAACAGAAAATTAAAAATTATATTTATTTACATTATTATAAAGAAAGTATTTTAATATCTGATCATTAAATTCAAGCGTTCGCTTCATAGAAAAACAAATAAGTAAAAAACCGTATATAACATGGTCACCCCTGACTTTATTTTTCCAATACGTCCGAGCAAAGTGTGGTCGTACTAATGAACGCTCTCATAAATTCTCGCAAATATTTTCATTTTAACTTTGCGAGCATCACATTACCAGAAGGTAGCCGTTAAAAGTATGCGATGTTAATGAAAGGCATTCCTTTACAGTACGTGGAAAACGTTGTTCCTCTTAAACGAAAGGTTAACGGTAAAAAAGTTATTTTTTATTTTGCCTCTTTATAATACAATTTTGTGTAAACTAGAGATAATTTTTAAACAACTTTAAACGTTCAAATTATTATCAAAATAGTTTTTAACTTGATAACAGAAAAATTTTTCTTACTATGATTATTTTACATTCTTAAAATTGGGCAGAGCGTCGCGTATAACGAGATGTAATATTTAGATTAGGTGCATAACAAGACTTACTGTTAAGTAGAGATTGGTTCAATTGTTATCTTCCGCGGGTTAAGGAATGTCACTAGCAATTAATATATTACATAACTAACCATGTGCTTCTGAGACAAAAATCTCCGTTTAAAACATATTTTTATCTTTGTTTTGTCAAAGATACTGCTTTTGGAAACCCATGATTAATAATTAGCCTATAGTTATACACCAAATGTCACCGTTTCGAGAAGAAACGAGTAAAAACTATATCAATATTTATTTGAAAATCCTTTAAAAATACAAACTGAACAAAGACTAATATTCCAATGTATTTTATCACTTCGTATCTAAGCTATAAAAATAATTTTCCCATCACAAGCGCTATTGAAAACTAAAGCGAGCCGTGGGCGCGCGTTCGCGAGGCAGTAAGTAATTGGTCGAGGGTGAGCGAACGCAAAACGGATATTGTTTTCGTCGATGGAGCTGCCAGTGCCGTTTAAATATCGCTCAACTGTATCGGAGAAAACGAACAGATTAACTTCCTATTCCCTTACAACGTGTAGTACAGCACAGCTACTTTTAAACATTAAAAAACCGCTGGACTTAAAATAAAAACCTTTATATTAAAAAAAAAACTATCAATAAATATCTTGACCAATCAAGACCATTGTACTAAAAGGCTAGTTAGTGGCGGCGGCACATGAAGTGAGTCACCGATACATGATGACCACGATCAGTCTGAAAGGACTGCAGCGACAAAGAAGATGAATCCTACGTCAAAGACATGCCACGTAATTAAGTTGTATACAATAAAACATATATGTGTTTGGGTCTATTGTCATTTACATTAAATGAATCGTTCAAGAATTGAACCCAAGCATCACAGTTCAAAGCTAGTTAATTCTTACTGCTATTTTCATCATCATCAGCTCACTATACTTCCCCTTTAAGGGGCTCGGAGTCTACCGTAAGTCATGGGTGACTAGGCCATAGTCAACCACGCTGGCCAGTGTGGGTTGGTTGATTTCACATCGTCATATCATTGAATTTCTTCTTAGATATGTGCAGGTTGCATCACGATGTTTTCCTTTACCGAAAGAACGTCGGATAAATGTACATATTTAAATCGAAAATCAAAAAACACATTAGTACATGGCGGGATTCGAACCCAGGATCTGCAGATTGCAATGCTTGACCCCTGAGCCACTGACGCTCACTGCTATTTCACTTTATCAGAAATATAAAAGGAAAGTCATTTATAAATATCATCTTGTATTAAGCTGAATGAAACATTGCAAACAAAGGTTGTACGGACAGGGAGTGGGACGGAAAGCGGAAACCAATTAAGTTATACTTTCTGGCAAATGGCAATGAAGATAAATTTTATTACACTTGATTTAACACTATTTGATTTAATTCGTCTTACTACTATACTGATTTAATTTATTATCTATACTAATTCTTTTTATTTATACCTATATTTGATAAAGCAAATCCAACAAGTCTTAAAATTAACATTTATTACGTCACATATTTATTAGTAATTAAAAATATGAAATTAAACAATTTAAAACTTAAAAAGTAGGTTATCAGCTACAACATTTTTTTACTGATTGTTTACTTTAATTTTATTAAAACTTTTATATTTTTATTTGATTTACAATTAAATAAAATGTTTAACTTTCTGATTATATACGAAATTCTAATTTAAATTACTCAATAAAAAATACTGAAACCTATATATATATATATATATCCTTATCATGAACAAATAACGAAAAACATTGTCCTATAAATAATTACTTCATATCATATCATACCTTTTCGACAAAAAAAGATACATTTACATGTGAGATAAAGTGTTAATTCAATCATAACCGTCACGCAACGAACGTGACATTTACAAGCTTTTTACTCTTAAAACGCCATTTGTTTCAAAGTGACATAATAAATCCTGGATCACACAAGGACCATTTCGTAAAAAAAAATTACAATTTTTTTTTCATTCTTATCAAAATTTTAAGTCATCGACAAATGTCACCATCATGTGAATTCACACTTAAAGATAGATTAAAAGATAAAAAAAACTATCATGTTTAAAATAAGTTGTTATTAAACACTTACAAAATATACGACTGTCGTAATTTTATCGTTTGGAACGAATGCAATTCAAAACTCTGTTTTACCAAAACTGCGTTCGTGTGGCAAAGTTCGTTGTGCACGCCTGCCCTAACATCGTAGTTTGAACGCGAGGGCGGTTTCTGGGGCGAGGGGCTGACAGTATGCCGCCCGACGCAGGCCGGCGCGCTCGCCCTAACTTAACTCCGTAAGCTTGGGAGGGCAAAGTTCGCGACCGTACATTATGGAACTGTGAATTATTTTTACAACAAATTTTAAAGTCGGACCAATTTACGAGAGGTAATTTTTTTTATTTTATTTGGGGTTTTATTTGTAATTAAAAGTTTATAAGCTTTAAGCAAAGATATTTAATTCTATAGGCTAGATAAATTAAAGTAAACCGTAAAAAAATTGTAGAGAAACAAATACTTTTTTTTTAAATCAATCCACTTTTTTCCCATATTGTATGGAGGGTTGCTTAATCAGTATTACAATGTGTCACTAAATACTATGATTTTTCGATTAGAGTTTTTACAGCACTTAATTTTTAACAAAACTTAATTTTTAAAAAAACAATAAAAGAGAAAGATATATTCCATAATTATAATCATGTGTTAGCCAAAAAATCAAATCAAATATACATTTAAAATTCGTTTACGAAGCCTTTCCCACGAATGCTTTAAGGCTACATAATAGTTTAATAGCACGAATTCATTCTCAAATCCATTTGAAGCATTTTCAAGGAAGTAGGTAAATGTAAGCAATTTTCAAAGAAGAAAAAAAAACTGAAAACTATGAATAATTTGCAGTTTGGTATATATTGGTATATTGTAAAGCGTTTGTTTTAAATTAATGACTATCATATATTTGGGTACAATTGGTATAGGTATATTGTTAGATCGCAAACTAATTTCACGAAACTCTAGACGTGCCATTAATTTAAATTCGACAAACAATTTATGAGTAAAGTTACGAAATATGTAATTTGTCAGTGACATAGCCTAATGGTGCCGAATAATACTAATCCATTCTCAATCTAGAAACTTTATTAAGAGAATAGTGAATCGAGAACCGATTTCTCTCTTTGTTGTTAGTTCGAGCATCCGTAAACTTTTCCGACTTGTCCTAATATTGGAATCCGATGGGCGGAGGCGAAGAGACGTCGCCGGTTACCACGTTCCACATTCCCTGAAACCGAATAGCTAATAATAGCATTGCTGTATTCACATAAACACACTTACATAAATAGGACAAGTACTTTTTCTAGTTTTATCGCTGTTCAATACAACACAAACATCGTTTTACGTTTATTGTGCGAGACGCTCGTATATTTATATGACGGTCGCTTCCTTTAAAGTATGATCGTTAGAAATTCTATGAGGTTAATCTATTTAAGATACGATTCAACTAACGACACTTTAAAAATTTAAAAGGTATATACAGAACCACATACAACAACATAACTCATGCCCGTAATCTAAAGGGGTAGGCAGAAACCGCAGACTTCCATTTAACGCGGTCCTAAAACACCTCTTCTCTTTATCATCCATACATCTACATATACGTCGGTTTAGGGTGTCCTAATACCGCCCTTCTTGAGGATTTCATTAATATGGTTGGTATAAGTCCGTCTGGTACGGTCTCGAACAACACTGCCACTTAATTTTGCCACATTTTCCTTCTTAATCTCCCTTCATTCATCATGTAAATCGTTACCTACATTTATTTAGTTTATACATTTTTTAGCAATAATAACTGATTATAGAATCAATTTTGACAGAGAAGAAATAGGAAGACTTTAAAATGTAGAACATTAGCAAACCAATGAACAATCATCTTCTCTTTACATAAATAAAACATAAAATACATAGTACAATTTAAATTTAATGGTATTTGAACTATCTAAACCCATCTCATACAGGTGTTCCGCTGAATACTCTCCCATAAACAAAGTTACAGTCAAGACGAATTAGTAAAGGTATCTGGTAAAGCAAACTACGTGTAAACTATGCGTGAAGTGAGATTAGTTTCAAAACGTATTATTTAATAAACATCTAACGCTTTACCCTAAAGTTTTATTGAATTAAAGGTCGGCTTTGTGCAACCGTGTTAACCCCTGTCTAGCTGGCAGGTCCATACAAATTTTAGTTAATGTACGAACCTATCATATTTTAGTTGACGGGCAATTTATCAAGTTATAGGAACTGACCGTGACGTGGCAAAATTGTTATGGACATTCGCACCGGTCGGAAATGGATTTTTGATATTTATTACTTAATTTTATCATACTATTCATAGTAATATTATAAATGTGAAAGTTTGGATGGATAAGAATGTTACTATATACCTCCGAAACGAATTAACAGATCTCGATGAAATATGCATATATGTAGAAAATAGTTACGAAGAACATATAGGCTAATGACCAAGTTTTTTTTATTTGTCGAAGTCGCGAGCAAAAAATAGTAACGGATAAAATTGACCAAACATTTTTAATTTAGTGTTAGGAATCCACACTGAGATCAAGCTCAAGTAACCTTTATATAATTCTGAGTTCGATTACTAATTTTAATACCGTAACCTATATTAAATGTAGCATCCCTTAAGCGGTTACCGTATAATGAAATAAAATCTATTAAATTACTAATGAACCGTGTGTATGAAATACGAGTATGAAATCTAATTTGATGTTCAGCCAGTGTACGTACTTTATTCGATATTGGTATGTGCACACATTTTTTTTTAATGTTCAAACTTTAACGTCGACAATTCAACTTTATTGCCAGTATTTCCAATCGGGAATAAAATATATCTGTTTTGATAGGTGTTACACAGTTGTTATTATACATTGTTTTGTGTAATATAATAAATATTGTTTATGAATTGTATAAAGTTACATAAAATTGTATAAAACCAAGTAAATTTTCAACCAGATGACGTTTTACAAAGATTCGATGTCATAATCTTTACTTTTTCTCTTACTTTTTAAAGTGCTCCCCTCTCAAAAAGGTAATTTCTTAATAAAAATAAATTCTCATTCCTCGCAGTGCAAGTTAAATAGCATTCAACATCTAATGATAAGAAAGAAAATAGAAAAGGAAATGTGGCACATCTTGATTTAGTCGGGCCAAATGTAACACGCCCGTCATCATTACAGGCCACTCTCAGGGGGACTCTACGTTAACAAGAACAAAACTAGGATTCATTGAATAAGATTTTCATTTATTTTTTCATATTTCTTATCTTACTATCTTACTAAAATGCGAATGTTTAGATGGATGGATGGATGTTTGTTTGAAGGTATCTCCAGAATGGATACACGAATTTTGCTGAAATTTGCCGTAGATGTAGAACAGTCCGGAAGAACACGTAGGCTACTAATTATTTTTTAGAATTCCGCACGGACAGAGCAGAGGGCGACAGCTAGTAAAATAAATAAAAGTCTTAGTTACAAAAATAAAACGTTATGAACTACCATTTGAAAACACGATAAAGCGGACTAAAGTCGTTTCAGTTTTAAGTCTGCTGTTTCAGTCAAACGATCCTACTACGGATATTAGCAAGGCGAGTTTCATCGCCGAGCTTAGCTCAAATTATTTCTGACGATAAATTCACAAGATGGCGTTTACACGGCCTTAATAATAACGAGATTTACCATTTCCATTTATTCTTATAAGAAAAATGTAGAAATAATCACAGTATTAGATTTATGCACGGCATAAATAATTTTAATTATTTTATTTACTTTACGACTTGTAAGCTTCTTGGCCAAAACGATAACTTTACAACACACTTCACGTAAATAATAAAGGGAATAGCGAATATGATTTAAAGCAATCTAAATTAAAAATATGCATATCTTGCAATAAGTTTTCTACGGTAAAATAATATTTCAGCAAAAAGATACGATACTTTTGTACCGAGGACTCCACGATGATACTGCTTAGCGACGTTATTATAATCGAACAAAGGGAAAGCAGAAGCACTCAATATAAAAGGGATTGCGAAAAAAAAAAGATCACCTACCGAATTTTTCATTACGATTTATTTTAAAAGCATTTTATACATCTTCGCTATTTAATGTCTCGTTTACATTTTTAAATCACATTTTATAAAACATAGAACATATGATTGAAATAGTTTTAAAAAATATGTTAAACCAAATCTTTATTTTTAATTGTTACATGATTGAATAGGCAAGTATTTTAATTAAATGTCAACATTATAAAATTAACACGCAATTAACGTTCAAATCATTCTGTTTCAGATTACCGCGTTGCAAAATCATCATTGGCTAACAATAAACTGTAATAATGTATTGATAAATACAGGCCTAATGAATGCGTCTATAACTAAACAATCTATAAATAAAATACAATGCAAAGGTACAGAATGTGACCAGAATTAAAGGATGCAACTAGTAATGATAAATTTCCTAATAATGTTCGACGTGGTGTTTATATTCTTTTTGTTCTTAATCGCGGTCACATGCGTTATGAATTACATGCCTGGTCGCAGCAAGAAGCAGGAAGCTACAGAGGATGAAGTGGAGGATGACGTCATTCCTCCACCTCCGCTGTTTGCTGGAGAAGATATCGAGAGGCAAGCTTCAACCAGTAGAGATACGTATGTGGTTATATCACCTCCGATCGACAATCACAAAACCAAAGATGGATGTCCTATTCACGTGGTCTAGCGTAAGCACTGATGAGTAAGTTCTTTACTTTATTTCTTTGAAAAACTTAATGAATATATTTAGTAGAAATCGTGAAAGCCGGCTTTGTTTTAAAATAATTACCTTATTCTTGATTAAATTTTTATTATCTGTATAATTAGTAACCCTAAATCCTTTCTATAGTTATTTTAAAACACTCTCTGATATCTATCCCAACTCGTAAGCTTCATTAATCCTTATACAAACACTGGAATCCCTATAAAAGGAGTTTAAGGCTTCTATTAGCTATTCGAACAAAACACGTCCAGTAATGGCCGCCCATCCTGAATCCCTATTCTATTTATTTAACCACAGCGAACTTATACAACGTCACAAAACATGTTACTCATTTGATCAAATCGAAAATGGTTCATTAACAAATAACTTTTAACAAGATAAGACGGAATTAGCAAAACAATTGAACGAAGAAGGAATTAGGAAGTATGGCATGGTACAGTCAGCTGCATAAAAATGTATACATTTATAAAACTTCAGAGACTTGTACACGTCTTCGATTTAAAATATACGTATATACATATTCGTTACAAGCTTGTATTTGCGTTTAGAAGCATAAGGATGGATACTTGCACACATATTTTAGAAACCGAAGGCATGTATACATGTTTATGCAGCTGACTGTACATGACGTAAATGTTAAACGTTTTTTTCTTTTACAGATCAACGTAGGAGTTTATTCTAAAGAAGCCTTATAAGAATGTAGTGTCGAAGAAAATAATAGTAGTCATTTTATACCAATTAGTCGAATTAAAGAAATAATCTTGTTGCAAGAAAAAATGGAACATTTTGGGACACAAGTGTTAGTAACACAATGAAACGGTTAGTATTCTGAGGATCGAGGGTAACCAAGCATAGTTCTGAGTTAGTAACAATACATAAGAAAATCCTTTGTTTGAAAATATTTATAGAGAGGTATTTACATTAGAAGAATACAAAAATTGTTTCGAGACTAGAATATATTTTATTTATCCACGAAGCTTGGCGCAGCGTTGGCAATTGTTTTGTTATTTCCATTGTAGTTATAGCTGCTTCGAAAGTCGGTGTTAACCTATTGTAAATTTAATTCAAGTGACAGTATTGACATTTCAAACATTCTCCTTGATGAGACAGAGACAACAAGATGTGTTAGTAAAATGTCACGCCAGTCTCCCAGACTCAGTAATGAACGATTGTTCATCATTATAAAGGTTCTAATAATAATCATTTTACGCGTGTTTATACATTGCATAAATGCTTAAGATCGATGTGACTGAATTATAGGTAGCATTATATATAAATTATTATTAAGAAATCGTTTGCTAGCTATTATGTGCCTAACTTAGGTCCCGTTATATCGCTTATAATAATGTTCACTAAATTTCTTGCATTATGCTAGTATATACAATTACAGAGTTTATTTTTCTATCTTTTATATAATTTACGGTAAATTTAATTAGCAATTAATTTGTTTGTGTTTTATTTATTGAAAGATATATTATTTAATTTGTTTACAATTTCCTAATTAAAATTAATTAAATATTAGAATTCAGGATTAGGGTAAATTTAGAATTAAGATTCGTATAATAAAAAAGACAATACATGTATTACGAAACTTTTCTCTTGATGTATCTTTTATTTTTCGATGAGTAGTAAATGTAAGATTAATAAATCCAATGATTTAAATATTGCTATAAAAATATACTAAAATAATCTAAAGGGCAATAACATGTTAATCGTCTTGATCACTTTTGACAGAATAGTTTTAGAAATAAAAAAAAAACTTGTATTACAAACCAACGTGAAAGTATTGATAAATTATTGTTATAGTGTGTCTATTTTAGATGGGTTAGTTTGACAACTGACGCCTATAAAATATCAAATTAATTTTGTATGAGCATTAATGTTGTACTTAATAGACGCTTGACATAGTACCGAACCGTCGCGCACAACGAATAACTGTGAACTATCGAAAATTGGTCTTGTAAAAAAATTAATCCAACAAATGGGTACTAAAATTTAGTTATTTTATAACTCTTAGAATTTATTATAGTTATATCGTATAATTAATTTAAATACATTTCTTTTTTGCTTATGAAAACCATATTTTTGGTGCAATGTTTAATTTCTTTATGTAGTTATGAAGGATAATGTAGGAATAGAAAGAAACATTTATATTGTAATTCAGAAACAACAATCACGAAATTATCGATTGCAAGTTCTATGAGAACAACAATCGAAAATCGAAAAAATTCTTAATCGATTTTGGTCAACCCATATCTAGTGAATTGCCAAATGAGTTATCAAACTAATCTATCTTAAATAGACACTATACCAAAGTTGAATGATCCTTACATAAGTCTTATAAAATTCTAAACGAAATTGATAAGTTCATATAATTGAATACTCGAATGGACATTAAAAATTAACAGCAAAATAATAATCACATGTGATATATACACAATTTATAAAAGTAGTTATAGTTATTTAAGTAATATTTCGAATATAATTAATTGTTATACAAGGTGTTAACTAAATGTAAGTAAATGAGCAATCCATTTTATACCGATGAAGTTAAGCCATTTCAACACTAAAAATCTTTATGGTATATTATATTACTAAAACTAAATAATATCCTAACATTTACCGGTATTAAGTCGATTGTTTAATTATCTTTAAAATAAAGTGCACTAAATACAGTGTTGCCATATCATATTTCGTAGTTTTATTTTTTAAACCTAATTTTTTCTACAGCTAATTTTATATATTGAGCAATTAGTAACATCTGTTGCACGAATGGGACGGCTTGTCTAGTAAAATACCACGACCACGAAGAAGATAATGCGTCAAGTGGAAGTTATTCCACGTTTCGTCTGATAAGTGTGTGTGCCTGAGGCCTAAAGCCTTTCTTAAAAGGAATGGATTAGGAGAGCAAATGGATTTGACGAAGACAGATACGTATAGAAATGAGAAATATTTTCTGTGCGTCCTCTCCTCTGTCGATAAAAGGTAGGCAACACATTTGCGGATCTCATCTGCAATTTCGGATGTCTATAGGTAGCGGTCGCTTCGCTTTTCGGCTTCAGCGAATCCAGGTAGCATCTTGCTCTTTTACCACCTTATAAAAAATAAGCAATTTATTACCAGCCCGTGTGTCTTTATTAATATTTCTTCTTAATTAAAAACAAAACATTTAATTTTAAGGAAGAATATTAAATTTTAATTAAGTTCTAATAATTATTCACTAGCGTTACAACAGTTAATTTACAAATTATTAAAACGAATCCAACTTTATATTATCAAAGGCCCGTTACTTGAAACATGATCAATAAATTACAATAAAAGACAGGGGACTACTCCGTGAAACTTTTGCGAGACATTTAATGTACACAATCGAGCTGCCAATAAAGCGTCAAGATAATTTCAGGTGTTCTCCCGCAACACCTGGGGCGGAACTTTGACGGAAAATCGATTTATAGTAAACAACGCTTTTATATCGTAAAGTAACAATGTATAATGTTTTATAAAGTACTAGCGTGGATATATAAGAAAACTTAATATAGATAAGTTGAATAAAAAGCAGCTCTTCAAAGCGTAAATTCGAAAAAAAAGAATAAATAGTATCATACGTCCGTCTCCTTGCTCTAAGCTACCTCCTCACCAATTTCTTTCATATATAGAGATTTGTAATGTACAAAATAGCAACATAACTATAAAAGAACGACTCATTTTCGTATTTAAAATCATCAATACTGGTTGTAAAAAATAATTGATGTTCTCGCGACTTCGTGCGCATGAAATACCTAGAAAGAAGTGTAGGATTAGCACTTGTGCTCTCTAGTGGTTATTGAGGGCATGTTGAGCCGCTTATGAGCAGTGTTGTCTTAGGATAACAATAGCTTGCGTATATAGAGGTTAAAGGTCGGGTATTCCAGATATTATCATTGTAAATCTTGTTAGTTAACCTTGCTGAATAATAATTATTCATTTATTTAATACTTTTTAAGATTAAATACTAAATAATTGTGCTATTTATAGCTATCATCATCATCATCATCAGCTCACTATACGTCCCCACCGAGAGGCTCGGAGCCTACCCTTAGTTAGGGGTGATTAGACCATAGTCAACCACACTGGCAAGTGCGGGTTGGTTGACTTCACACATATCTTTGAATTTCTTCTCAGATATGTGCAGCTGTAAGTTTTATAAAACTAATGAATAAATATTGTAAAGCAGTTTTAAATAGTATTATAGATAAATTAAATTACAGCGAACATTTTCTAATGTTGAATATGATTCAAGTACGAAAATTATACCCATTTTTGTACCGGCGACTATGATAACTGACCTCTCACGATTAATTATGAATTTCATAGTCATTTGGAGGTCAAAGATTCTTGTGTTAATCTTTGTTGGTATCACGGTTTTATGGAAGTATAAAGTAAACTATAGCGTTAAGTAAGTTTGATTTTGCTTATACTTTTTATTTTCTCGTTAATTGAAATTGATATTTAATGTTAAATTTAAGTTTACATTGAAGTAATACATGAATTTTTAAAGAAGCAAGTCATATTAGTCGTTTTTTTAAGTTTGAAACATTGGATTTAATATTTAAACGTAAAAGTTTTAAATTGTAGCAAAATTTCCTATAATTCGTTCGACGCACAAAATTGATTTCTAGCGGTCGTAACATTACTAGTTAAATATAAGGTTGGTACTATGTTAAGTAGGAAACTTTAATTGGAATTAACCCAGTCTAATATTTTTTTCTTTTAAATTATAAATGGAGTCGCGGCACTTTAGTAATGTGCCAATAACAATTTTAATCGATGCTTCGAATTACGATTGAATTTTTCTACATCACATAAATTAATTTAAAAAAAGAAACATAATAATTATAACTCAGAAGCATTCAGAAAAATGTTTCCTTTTTTGTTTAAGTCATTTTATATTCCTAACAAAAAAGTTTCTGTTATGAATTCTTTATCGCGAAACACACTTATTCTGGGCATCTTTTTGTTAGTATTCACATAACAATGACTTGACCCATTTGTTATGTCAAGGTTATAATAGAATAGATTTCAAAGTTAACCTTGGTAAACAACTTGGACACAAGTAAAAACATTGTATTAGATAGCAGTGCTTCAGGTAAAAATAGCCACAAAAAGAGTTTTATTTTTAATTCTTTTAATACCAATTAAATCATATTTTTTACAAACTTACTACTATTTTCATATCTCCCATCAACTATAAATTAATTCGCATTAAAGTACCGCTACAAATGTTATCAATGAAATGTTGGTTATAAAAAAAATCTGCATACAATTGCAGTACTTTTCTATATAAAGAAAGTAGGCCACGGATATAACAAAGTTACTATGCCTTTTAGTGGCGCATTCGTTGTTAATACGGAAGGACTTACATAGCCCGCAACGAGGGAAATGTTTCTTCAAGTTGAATTAACTACAAATTAAATATGTTACAATTAAATTAAAAGCATCAAAATAAGCCAAATAGAAATAATATATACGCAGACAGCAATAACAATAACCGTAGTACCGCGTGGAACAAATAAAATTTGAGTACAAAATGGGTGCAATATTTGTGCAAAAAAAATTTTTTTTTACAATTTCTTTCTCGTCACAATAATATACGCTAAAAAACCTTTCACATTTACTCCGTGTATGTATTTTCGATGCACCTATGTCAAAGAATCCATTTGTAGCGTAAAAATGAAAAGATGCAAATATAAGAGAAAGCTTTTGAAGACGGGCGCGAGGGAATTTTAATTATTGCAGGTGGCATCAGTTCATATACAAGAATACTCAAAGAGTATGTCCAACTCCATGTCATGAATAACAGTAATGAAAAGTATCAAATGTTTTCGACTAAACATTCCAACGTTCATAGACGAAGGAATTGAAAAAAAAATAATTAAGTAGAAGGGAGAAAATAAAAGATTAGCATTGTATTAATCTTCCTAATAGTGTGTGCTATTGTAACTAGCACACACTATTAGGAAGATATTTTTACAATTGACATTTTAGAATCATGAACAAGAAGGAAAAAAACATAAAACATTCTAAGTTTAAAAATAAGGGGTAAAAAAGTCTAAAGAGGTCCGTTTGCATCGGCAACTGTGTTTATTGTTGATTTTTACAAGCTTTTATTA